GGCTTGCCCCAGTTCTGTTGCACAGTGCTGTGAAGATCTGCATTTCCCAGTCTGCTACAATGAGACATGAACTTTTTTTTTTTTTTTAAACTTTTTTTTTCCTCCAAACAGATCAAAATCTACACATTATATTTGGGGGGGAAAAAACCTGCATAAAAGTTTGGACAAACTTTCAGTGGTTATTACTTTTGTTATCCCCTCATTTCGTCTGCCTGCATGTGTGGGTACACACACATTTATATTTATCTGCAGTCTTTCTGCAGATTGCTCTTTGGATGTCTTACAGACGACAGATAGATCATCCACATGATTGCAGTTTATAACACCACGTAGGCCATAACATATAGGCTCACAAGAATCAAAGTGACTTGCCTACTACAACACAAAAAAGCAGTCAGCAGAGTCAGGAAGATGGCAATGAATAATTCGGGTAACCTTTCCTGTCTAGGTGCAGGAGATGCGCCACGTTTCTCTGCAGGCCTGGAGGTTTTGGTTTGGGGTTGTTAATTTTTCTGCAGAGCACGTACAGAAAGGGCAAGACAGGCAAGCACTAAAAGCAATCCAACTTCTTTCATAAATCAGCAGGATACAGTATCCAGTTGTTTACTTAGCATAATTTTACACAAACTAGACTGGACAAGTCATGAAACACTGGGCACAAGAGCTGAGAAATACTGCTATTAAAAAGGCATGCGGAAAACTTTCCCAAGGGATGCCAAGAGCATGTGTGGGAAGAGGTAGGAGGAAGAAGCAGCAGCGTCAGGGGTTATACCAAACAGAAAAGAAGCGATTGTGTTCTTCCCTCAAAATCAGTTACTAAACCTTTCAAAGAGAAAATCATCGCTGGAAGGGGAACACAGGAGTGACACTGGAAACAACCGTGCAGCTGCAAAGAAAGCTTCCAAAAGAGTTAAGCAGAGTCAAGCCGCCTGTTTAAGGTGTAACGCAAGTTAACAGCTTAGATGCAGGCAGATTTGCCAAGTAAGCTTTGCTAAGGTTTTAAATATTTGCTTCACAAGAAAATGGATTCTTCCAACTAAACGGTGACTGCCGAATCTTACAGCGTACTTGTGTTGCATCTGATAAACATCGGTCACGGCTCACTTGGTACCCTACAGTGCTGCACACCAGCACGCAGCAAGGAGCACACAGAAACCTAACAGCACGGTCAGTGAGTGGAAGGAGTCAACACAGACCGAACTTCACCTTCTCTAAACCAGTGCCGCCAAAGGAACTGGGACCCTACAATAAAAAGATTAAAGACTGACTACGGGAATCTTTTGAATAATGCCTCCCCCCACAACACACATGCAGCCTGAGATTCAGTCTACATATGTACATTTTGGAAAATATTGTTCAAAGCGTGTATATGCTGATAGCTCGTACTGTTCCCCTTTTACGGTCATTGGGCTCATTCCAACAACAGAATAGCTTTAAACTGATGAGGACTGGTGGGGTTTTGTTTTTATTTGTTCTACACTCCAGTGAATTTTTTTCACCCTACACGCACTCTAGCTTCACCCTCAGAAAGTGAAAATAGGACCTACATATGCACCATTCTGTAGGAAGACTTATAGATCTTTAGATCTTACAGACCCTTTAGTGCTTGCTTTAGTGCTGTAGATCTAAAGGTCTATAAAGATCCATACAATCTTCTAGATCTTTTAATAATTTGTTTAGAGAGGAGGAAAGTGGAAAAGACAGGAAAGTTTTATGCACATCAACACCCCCCCAACGTTTCAGGCAGCAGTACTAACTAGTCATAATATATTCAAAGATCAAGATGCTATCTTCAGCCCACCTCCTCTTTTCTCATCCTCACCACCATTCTTTTCAAAATTAAAATCTGAAGAGAAAACCACAAGAAAAGCTGAGAAGGATGAAGAGTATTTCCATAGCACCATGTACATTACAGAGCTGTAATGTTTCTTCCAACGTCTCTAGTTGGAGGTTAAACTACCTCATTTTCTTCATGCCAACCAAAACTTTTTAAGGAAAGCCTTCGCTCTGACTTTGACATCCCTCCCATTTGGGTGATCAAAGCTTTATAGGCCACAACTGATGTAACCTAGCTGATCCTGAGCAATGGGTGAATTGCAGAATCGAGGCCTTGAAAACTGAACATTTGGGGTGTGCCCACAGAGCGTGCCAACACATCAGGCTTTCTAATTTGTTAAGCATTTGGCAAAGCAAGCACTGGATCAGAGGTATCCCAGAAGAAAGAAAGTCTTGCGGCTGTTCTCAACGCAGGTTAGACAAAATAATCAGATATGCTCTATGGCATCACTTCTGTTTAAGCAAAAAGGCATAACACTGCCAGTAAAACATGCACAGAAGCACAAACCACCTACAGGTTCATTAAAAAAAAATAAAAATCACAATTTCAGTTTTGTAGAAGTTGCCACTCAAGCCTCTTTCCCAGGCATGGACACAGTTACCATTAGCCTACAAAAGCAGTTCATCTAACTGGAGATCTTGAAGTAGGCAGAGGAGGTAAATTTGAGGCTGTGGCTTCTTCAGCATTTCTGTCGGGGCAGTGCTGGGGGCGGCAGTCACTGTCCCCTCTGTCCCCATCTTCTCTCCTCTCACTGCTCCCATAAGCTGTGGTGAGCTAGAACCAGCATGGAGCTGCACAGTCCACCAGCAAAAGGAGGCGTTCATGAAACCATCGCTTGAGGAACTGAAGCCATGGCTTGATGATATGGCCATCTCTGGCAGCAACATCAACTTGAGCCACTGCCCCTTCTCCCCCCATGGCCGTAGGCAGCTCTTCTCCAGCCTCATGCCACCTTCTTCATAGTGACAGCACAACTGCTTGTAATACCACGCGCTGAACTAGATCAACGAACCAATCCAGGTTATAAATAACCAGGGCAAAGAGAGGAGTGAGGGTATTTTTAACATGAAACCGGGGCTCGTTCACTGATCCAGGTCACCATCTGGCCCCGGGGCAGTTGTGCCGGCACAAGTGTTCGGAGACAGGCAAGGAACCAGCGAGCAAGAGTGGACAGGAATATCCTACAGCCACATCTGCCACTGAGAAAATGGTACATTGAACAGTATCACCCATGCCTGGTGTTAGCAACAGTATCATCCATGCTGGTATTAAAAAATGGAGCTGACTTAGCACGACTTGGAAGAATTTACACCACGCTTTTAGCCTCCGCAGGCTCATTACTTTGAAGCAAAAACACATGAGCTCCACTGGTAGGAACGACAACACTTTTAAGCTGCATGGGGCTAACATCTCCAAACTCCTCCCTCTGACTGCCCTTCATCCCCTAAAAAAGCATGAGCTTGTGAGATAAAAGATACATAGAGCCAATATACAACTAGCTTTTCAAAACCAGCCAAAAACTACAGAAAGTTTCAAAACATAAGCCATCTCCCACAATACGAGCTCAGCCATACTATAGACAGCATTTTTCAATTGTTTTCCTTCTGCTGTGCAACCTCTCCTTTACAACTGTTTGTGATTAATACATGCTATTAAAAACAGAGGGAGTGTGCAGCACAGCCAATCTCAACGTTATGGAAGAAGCCTTCGTTGTGCACAGTCCAGCGAGCTGCCCTGTGTAAAACCGCTGCACAAATGGAAACGTTTGCTGTGCAGAGAACATTCACTGCGTGTCAACACACCTTTACTCTTCTCTGGTTTGTCTGGTTGTTAACTGCAGCAAAAGAGCGCTGCCTTCTTATGAAGGCAGCCTTTGAAAATCTCCAATTGAAAATTGATTTTTATCAGGCCATCTTACAAAGTAAGAATGTCTTGCTCTTGGCAGACACAACAGCTTAAGTTAGAGAGCAGCAGTCACACTGCCCATCAATCAGAAGGAGATGCAGAGATAGGACTGAAGTCCTATTAGTTGACCTAACCCTGCCTTCTTGTTTTCCCCCTTCTCCTGCCTGTTTACCCATTACACCCCAGCCACTCACCAGGAGCTTGTATCCAAGGCCATTTTTACTTGTTGGCACCTATACACGCACTAAAATATAAAGCATTTTGCAGCAACACCCTTGCAGGAGTTTTGCTTAATATAACCAGCTTGCCAAAGACCCCCTGCTCTGTACAATGCACATGTGCTGACGTAATTTTTCCCCTAATACCTATATGAGGTTGAGGAGTTCAGAAAAATAAGAAGCTTGGTTTGAAGAGGCATAACCTCTCTTCAGAACTGCAGTATCATCAGTCAAGCATTGCACACAGGAGGATCTCATTCGATTTTAAATCTGAAGCTGTTGTGTTAATTTGCAGATGCAACTATAAAACACAAACGAAATCGAGGGGAAAATCCATGCTTTTCCTGATCTGTTTTGAAGACTTAATTTAAACTGATTCTTTTTTGAACAACATAAACTGCAAGACATCTAAAGATTCAAATATGGGCATATATTTTTTGTTTCTTTGGCTGGGTTAATTTCCAGTCTTTCCATCTAAAACTCCACAGTAAATCCCCTGGGTCAGTTACAACTACTACTTGACACTGCTGAATTCTGCCAGCAATCTGCTCATCATTCCTGCAGATGTTTCTGCTTTCAGGCTTCTGGGAACTTTATTGGACCTATTTCCTTCGAATAAACGTATACCCTTTTTAGGCTGCAAATGTACCAGGGAAACTACTGTCCTCTATCTCAAGCAGCCTCCTCACCTTCTTTTTTGGTAAAAGCAAGATGTTACATTTAATATAAAAAAGTGGAAGCGGGGAATCTGACTTTTTTCCCCCTCTTCTAAGAAATTTCTGATAAGGGAGGGCTACATGTGCTCATATGTCCTGGGACCAGCTAAAGCACTTTCTGACGGCCAGAGGCCCCTGCACACAAGCACACAGAAATCTCATGAACGGCAGATGGGCTCAAGGGGTCAGGTCCTGCAAACAGAAAGCTAACGATCACATGCAAGGACCATGCCCTTCAACATAAATATGGGGTAAGCCATATGCCCTCTCTCATAATTAAATTTTACCCATATTGCTAATAAAGCAGAATGTTCCTCTACTCACCTCGGTAACATCCATGACTTTGATGGCTGCCAGTTGACCTGTTTTGACATGTCGACCCTGAAGAAGAGAGAGAACCATCAGCACCAGTGTCTCACCCATCCCTTCAGCATACACAGAGAAAAGCATTCCCCAAATTTACTGGACCCTTATGATACTTCATATGAAAAAACCAACAAATACTCTAGATGGCTAAAAAACCCCCAACAGTTTCTCTTCAAAATGTTCTTACACAAATCTTAGAACCCATTTATTTTTCTCCACATTAAAAGGATGATTATAAAGATTGAGCACAGACAGATTACATTCACAGGTTCCCTTATGTTTACTTTAGCAAAGCTCATAGTCAGTACTGATAGTTTATTAACATGCCAGAACAGTTAAACTCTACGTATTGCATATTTTATTTCCACGCACCAGTGCCTGGTACCTGGGTGATATTTTACCGGGTAAATGTAAGCACGCTTAGGGGGTTGCAAATGGACGTTTCTCTTTGTTTTGGTATTCACCAGTAAAAAAAAGTGAGGTTTCTTCAAGCGATGCATCAGACTTGTAATAGCTCTCTTTGCCTGTCTCACGACAGCTAGACAAGAACAAGACATCGTCTCCCTTCAGCTACGCCACCGTAAGGGTTCGGTTTCTCAGTACAGCTGGAGCTGAATTAATAGATCCCAGCTCCTGCGGCAGGGAGCTCCTACCCTTCCTTCCCCTGCCTCCCTCCAGCCTCCTGTCACATATATTTCTCCCAGGAGCACTGAGCTCGTTCTGGCACTCATCGGATCATATGATAAGCTGATTGAGATCACTAAAATGGCAGAAAGTTAACACAGAAAAAGCAAACTGCAGGGTGGGGCGGGGGATTGCAGATCAGGAAATTAAACTGGTTTGCTCTGCAGTCAGAGCAGAGCCAGAGCTGGCAGGAGGCGATCGCGTGGCTGGGAGGCAGGCAGCGCCACGGGCCCCTCTGGCCGTGCTGGGCTGTACCGCCTCAGCTGACTTCTGACAAAAACCTTTTTTCTCTCAAGTACATTTTTACAGGAGGTGGGGCCATATCAACAAGCTGCTCTGTTGTTTTTTTCTTCTAAACAGGCACTTAGAAATGGTCCTGGTATTAGTGTTTTCCAACTCTCCACTTAACACCCAGCGGTCTGCACCAAGACTTCCAGTCAAACAGCCCAGTCTCCCAACGCCTTTCTCAAGCATCATCCCCAAAGGTTCTTCTCTAAATCAGTCAAGCTCTCCAGCAAGAGGTATGCCCGCTACATTTCTTTACTTTTATCAGAAATAATGATAAAAACACAACAAAACATTTCACTAAATTCACAGTTCCTTTAACTTTCTCCTCACCAATTTCTAAGTTTCCTAGGCAGAAACCTATACGTAGCATCCACTAGAGCCAATGGACATCGATAAGAGTATTTTTTTCCTGGATTAACTTCCTAATCTTTTTACAGATTCTTTCGAGACCGGCACCCCAGAACTGAAGCACCCCAAACCACTAGTCTCTTTGGAGAAACCTTGACCCCTTCACACCTTATGATGCCCTCCATGGAGGTAATGGCCAGGCATTGCTGGTGCATTAGAAAGGATGAAACGCTGCAGAATTCACAGCCTCCGCTTTCTTTCACAACTCTTCTTGTGCTGCGCTTTCCCCTTATTAACCAATCCACATGCTTTCTATAAATAAATTACTGTACTTGGGTTTCTGCCGGCTCTGTAAACTCTTTATTGCATGCATTTCTTTTTACAGCTTGGTCTCAAGTTGGTTTGGATTTTGAAACAAATTTAGGGTCCTAACATGCGTGCAGTGGCCAAGACTGACCCCACCTTGCCCTTACTACTTCTTGAACCAAAGACTTTCAGCAAGCCCAGGAGAGATGTATCCCCAATTTCTCACCCTGGACCTATGCCTAATGACAAAAGCCTATGGTCTTCTCCTCCAAGACCTACCATCCCACCAAGGAAGGAGGGGAAAATGTTTTACACCTAGGTGGAAAAATGTCTCCTCTCAGCTCTGCCCGTTTTCCACAGTTCTGTGGAAGGAACTAAAAGACACAAAGATGTGGGGAAGCACAGTTCAAGGTACAAAAAGAATATGCTAAAGATAAGAAAGGAACAAGGACATCTCAGAGAAAAAAACCTCAAAACACTAAGGAGGGCTGATGAAGAAGAAATTTTTTAAAAAACAGTTAAATACGGTTCACTGTTCATTCTGCAGTAAAGCGGGGATGCTAAAACAGCAGCAGAACATACTCCAAGCAGAAAAAGTGACACACAGAAAAGAGAAGTAGCAAGACATCCACGGGATGCCACATATTTTATGGAAAACTTGCTCTATTTGTCTTTTTAAATCTACAAACTACTGGTGGGCTTGCTATTTCCAGAGAGAAGCTCGAAATTTCCCAGGGTTCATTTTCACAACTTTTCTCAAGATGTCATTAGTCCCCGTGAGACTGGCCCCCTCAGAATGACTAACGTGCATCAGCCTGACCGTCCTTCCCCTACAGCTTTACGGGATCCTACCGGTGCCTCCGCTAGTCCCTATCAAAACCTGGGGCCACGACAGTTATAGCAGAGATTGCTTGTGTTTCGCTTTGCTGTTTCTGCAGCAGGGATGGGAAAAGCTTCTCCATAACCCTCCTGAGGGACTGGAAAGCCAGGGAACTGCAGACTGTGGGAAGTGTGGGCTGCTCAGTATCCCAGGCCAAATTTAAACCCTGGTCATTTCAGAATATCATTAAAAATTACTCCAAATACCCTTTTCATAATATATGGAGCATTCATATTCTAAGCATCTACAACATATACGGGGGGCTGCATGACATTGATTTATATGAGAGAAGTTAATGGACATTTTAAAGCCACATTCTTTTCATTAAAAACATTTTTAGAGGGAGGGGAAAAAGCAAACATCACAAGCACAATATATAAGCATGAGCAGAGTTTTTGTTTGTTTGTTTATCTGCTTAACAACTCTGCTCAAGATCAGACTTGTCAAACTATTAGCAGGCTGGTATAATTTTGCTTGTAACATGAAATGGCTAAGCATTCCTGTTTTGGAAACTGATCTTCAGATTTTCATAGCCAGCTTTTGCTTTGGAAAAAACTGCATTAAAAATAATAAAATCGCAAAGCCGTTGAATGTGATGGAAGAACTGCAGAAGTCAGAGATGGGAGAAACCCTCTGAACTCAAGTCTCCTGGGATTAAAATTTATTCAAATCCAACTCCCAGGGCACTCCATAAATGTGGTAACCATTAAGGCTCCATACAGACACCATCTCAGCAACACCACCGGCTAACACTCTGGAGAGACAGCATTTTTATCGCAGAAGGAGGCCCCTTTTTTATCATTGTCTGGAGTTGTGGCCCCTCAGGGCGTCCCAGGCTCCCCCATCCCCAGGGCGCATGGAGGTTCTTGCAGCTTTGTTTCTCTGGGCAAATTGTCGGCAATTACCATCTGAATATCTGAAAAATGCTGCGCGATTGCAAAACACAACCCATGCTAACTGAAAACAGCGGTTTCTTAAAATATTGCTAGATACCAAATATCAGAGGCTGGGGATCACAGGATAACTGTCACCTGGCCAGAAAGTTAAGTACGGATATGAAACATGCAATGAAGATGACAGCAAGCTAGATGCATCTTGTCAAGCGTAAGATGACTGTCTCCAGAGCCAACGGACTGAGGAGGCTGCAGGGTTTGCACTGCGTAGTAGCAGCAACAGGTAGTGGAGGCTACATCATCCCATGAGCAAGGGTTTGCTCTCGGGGATGCGGGCCACGACAACTGTCAGCTGAGTCTCGCTCCTGCCCCAAGGAAAAGAGCCCACCAACACCTTCCCTTCATTTATCCATGTTATGATCAACCAAAATTTCCAAACTGCTTGTGTTTTCTTACGCATTCACCCCTCCTTTCTTTCCCTCTTTTCACGAATGTACCTATATTAAAGCACTTGTGTATCCTCCCAGGGAAGTAATGTAAGAATATTTTTAAAAGACCACTACTGCACTGTTCTATTTTTAAATGGCCTGTTGGGATGAGCAAGTCAATGGAGTTGAGTCTGCTGACCCCAAATCTTGTCCTGTTTCTTCTCATGCGGATGACAGAAAGTTCATTTACATATGGAAAATTTTAAAACACAGCTCTTCTCATCAACATAGCAACACTGCAGCATTTAACTGGTTCTTAAACTGAATCCACTACTTAAGCACATTCCCAGTCATGTCTGATAGCAATATGCTGTTTATTTCTCATCTCAGTGGGCTTTTGGCATGTTGAAAAGCAGAGGGGACAAGGGGAATCCTTGGTAGACTGCCAAGATCTGCAGAACATTATAAATTTCAAGCCTACCCACACTCTCCAAGTCAGTTAATACACCTACTTCTTGCCTCTTTCTTCCTCTGCACAATTACGGTAAAATTTTTGTTTGGGAAAGGTTCAAAGGCAAGTGGTGCTATGTGCTGGTTTTTATGGTGTTTTTTTTTTCCCTAAGATGCCTCAATGTTACCAAAGAACTATGCAAATTAAATGTAAAAGAAATTCTGTCAGCTCATTTACCTCCTCCCCCCACTAATTATCCAAGATATGTATTCCACAGTAATGTAATTCTCCTACTAACACATTTTTCAGCTTGTGTATTAATGTGCCTTTTGGGGGATTGTTCCTGGAAGCTTTCTCCTCAGCTAAATGCCATGAAAGTGGAATATGGGGCAACATCACATATTAAGGAAGGAAGGCAGCATGCGTGACTCATGACTTGCAAGCTTGGATTATCCTGTGCACTGTACACCATGAAGTCTTTGGAAAACTTTTCCAAACTCCTAATATCCTATGCTGACAGTTCTGGAAAGAAGAGCAAATTGGGAAAAAAAATCTACTAATTCACATTTCAGTTGCTACAATGTACACAGAAGTGGCAGGCTAGATTTAAACATGCTATCAAGTGAAAACTCGCCAGGGTATCACATCTTAGCAGTGCTGCACAATGCCCCCATGCCAAAATTAACTTTTCAATTTGCTTCTCAGTTAGTTGACTCTAAAGTCCTACCAGCCTGAGGC